GAGCGAGAGAGAGGTGGCTGCTAGAGTGAGAGAGAGGTGGCAGGGATCCATACTCATTGCTGGCTATAATCTAGGGATGCCACGGCGCTTTCGCTGTGGCGGGTTGTATGAGGAGTTGTTGGCAGAGAGAGGTGTGGCTGGATGCACAACCTAAATGCTTGACGAGCTGTGTTCCTACGCAGTTGGCGGCACCTTTTCGATCGTGGAGCCAGAGCACGAGACAGATACAAGTCCACCACATCAAGGCACCACCACGATGCACGAGGTCGCGGACGGGGAGATTGGAGACGAGCATACTGTCGGGATACTAGACGAGGGCCCCATTGAGGATTGTGTGATTGCAAGAGGAGAAGATAATGTCAATGCTGAGTGTGGCGCACTGACTGGAACCGCGAACATGCCGAACGCATGGGTGGATACGCTTGACGAGGGCTTGGAAGGGCCATGCATTGATGCATCCACGATCGGTGATGGTGCTGGGGTGGCAGTGCAAGAGCCGACAAGAACAGTAACCGCCAGGCAAGTGGCAAATTCTGCTGTGATAATGCTAGTGGGGGGCTTGATGAATGAGGTATGTGGCATGTAGCAAGTGTGTGCTTGCGGCATTTTGCGCCCGTGCCAGGAGCACGTTGGTATTGCTTGTTTAGTACCCTTTGTTGCCACTTGCCCTGGCCATCACAATGAAGCTGGGCAAGCACCCATGGTGCCCATGGTACTTACGTTGCGAATGCCAGTGAAAGCTGACCGGATGCTCGTGCAAGGCTTGCATTCAAACGTCCCACCCTGGTTGTAATTCTTTTTGCAGTCTAGCGATGGCGGAGGGTGTCACACCACCAAAAGGCAAGAAGCTTCCGAGTGGGTGGCACGAGGGACTGTCCGACGTTGAGGCTAAAACCAACGCGGTATGTTTTGTGTCCCCGGTGATGTTCCTACAGTTCATGGCTGGGGTGGCGATGGTGTGCCAGAAGGGAGCCAAGTGTGGAGGCCGGATGGTGTTGCGTTCTGCGAGGATTAACTGGGCAAGCGTTGGGTTCATGTGGATGTGCAACACTTGTTCTCATGTGAAGACTTGGTGGACAACGGAGCGTGGAAAAACAACGAGGTGTGAAAACCCACAGGGGCCGAAAACGTCATTGATGCTACCTCGGTTTCTCGCAGCATTCGCCTTAGCTGGTCTTGGCTTCCAACATATCTCGGAGGTCGGGCGCACATTGGGTCTAGACAGTATGAGCGGTCAGACCTTTTACCGACATATGCACCGCCCTTATGGTCTATGGGAAGCCATTATTCTTGAAAGCGAGGATAATATGGCTCGGGTTAGAAAGATGATGGAGGCCCGTAGAACGCTGGAGTATGTTGCCGTCGATGGGAGATGGTCGCAGGCTAGGGAGGGCAAGTGGTGCAGCGTCACGTTTTTTTACCCGAAATCTCGAAAAGTACTGCTACATGTAACCATTAGTAAGAAAACAGGCCAGTCTTCCATAGCCTTAGAGGGCATTGCGTTTAAAATGGGTCTCAAACAGTTGGAGCAGGCAGGTTTCAAAGTGTATGGCATCATATCGGATGAAGGTGGCTCATTTAAATCTGCAATTTTGGGGACTGACATCCGTCACCAGATGGACGTATGGCACAAGGGACGCGCCCTTACCAGAAAATTTGTGAAGGATTTTCTTGATGCGCATAAAAAAGAAATGAGGGTGGCTGATGCACGAAGTTGTGAGGACCTCTGCATGTGTTCAACCGATGAGTTGTGGGATTGGTTGGAGAAAAATCCCCCGAAGCGAGGCAAGGTCAGCAGGAAGTCTAGACGAGCCACCCTCATACGGGCTATCTGTACCACCCTCGGTACGTTTACATACGACCCAAGCGTCAAGGCTCCTACAAGGTATCTATATGAGGAGATGCGGAAGGTGCAGGCGGTGATGAGCAGCGCCACCAAGATCGGGCCCTCCCCATCTAAACGTCGTCGGAGGCATATGGCAGGCAATGACAAGGAGAACGACATGGGGGGGGCGCCTAGAGAGGTGGGGGAGGCAGGAGCCGTCCAGGAAGGAGAAGGGGGGGCAGAGGAGGGTGGAGCAGGTAGCCAGCCACCTAGGGGTGGTGGTGCGATGGAGCAAGCAGGTGGTGGGCTGGGGTCTACAGAGTGGCTAGAGATTGGGATGGAAGATGTTCAGGAGCTTTTTGACTTCGACCCGATCCCAAGCCACCCCGTCCCTCATAGCGGCATCGCGGATTTTATTCGCGAGACAGCGGATTCACTGGCGTTTGGTGAGGGCACGCAAGATGGACCGCACATTGTTGACTGCACGCACGAGGGTGAGTCCATAGCACACACGTGTTTTTTTGCATTATGTGTTTTGAGAGGTACTAATTTGACTCGGCATGTTCACGCCTGCTCCACGTGCTTTTGTTGGTGTTGTGAAGAGGTCGCACGAACGCATACGGCCGAGTGCGCAGCGCCGCACAACGACGGCACCTGCCCCTCACCACCTATGCCTGCGGATGGAGCAAGCAATGCAACTGTTATTGGGGGAAACCAGGTGGGAAGGGGGTCGGGGCGTAGGTGGGTGGCTCGAGGAAAATTCAAGCGACAACAACCAGAAGGAAGCGGGGTTGGTGGTTCCGAGAGCGGAGAGATGGAGGAGGTGACCGTGGCGCGACGTTTTAGTGTACACTTCCATCATGTTATGCTACGGTGTGCAGCGAGGCTAGTAGCAGGAATACCCATGACTGCTAGGGAGGTCGCCGAGGAGCTTGCTATCGCGGCCGAGCATTGGGCAGGGATCCATACGCATTGCCAACACGGTGATGTTCCGTCGCGTTGCGTCAGGGAATGGTGGGGGACAGAGAGCGCTCTGTATTTGCCAGATTCAAAAACACACTTGGCCTTTCGTGTATGGTTGGCGGAGAACTGCGGGGAGGTGCAGATGGAAGCATACGTGCATGGGGCTAGCAATTGGATTAACGAATCGTTTCATTCGTTGATAACAAAGTATGCCCCGAAAAGAGTCTCTTATCTTGGCAGCATGGATGCGAGAATAGCACTAGCAGTGCTGCATTGGAACGCCATGGCTGATCGGCAGATAGTGGAGTGGGTGACGCGTGTTCGTCTTGCAACACGTATCCGTCGGGGGAATAAGGATCGAATATTGGGGCCGATAGATTGGGGGTGGCATGATCAGATATTGGTTCGTTGGCAAGGGTTGGTGAATGGCACAAGTTCATGTGCACAAGCCACTCCCGTGAGGGGCGCAGCCGGCGCATCTGATCCCACAAGTGTGGCTCCATCCACGGCTGGCGATACGTGCGTTCAGGACCCCGGTGCCCTGGTTCCTCTGAGCACCACCAACAACCAGACGTTTGTGTTTTCCACTCCAGAGGGTAGTGTCGCCCCAGTATCCGCGTTGCGAACCAGACGCCGCACGATTGCCCGCTCACGTCATGCCATTGCTCGTCGCCGCCTTCCTTTGGGTAAGTCACTATCGTGCATACTTTCCAATGTTTGCAGACCCCCCTTCCTCCCCTCCCCCCCCGTTCCCCCATAGCTGGCTCTGGATGACCCCTGCCTTTTTATCATTCCCAACTATCGATGGCACTCATATGTCTATGCATTCCAGGAGACTCGACCAACAGCAATGCTGGATAGGCCTTGGGTCTTGTGGCCTCGCGCTCCATTCAAGCGTCCTTGTAAACTACCCCCCTGGTGAGCACATACCTAGGCGTGCTATCCTCCACACGTCCTTGTTTGCTCGTGAATTGTAATGGGTGTGCGATCATCCACACACGAGCAAGTGGGTCCTTATTTCAGAGAACTCAGCCCACTCGCGGTGCATGGTTGCCATTCATTCTCCACGCAGGTTAGACGACTACGATCAACAGAAGGAGTAGCACACCAGCCATGTTTTCGCGCGAGGTATGTTGTTGTCTAGTCGACGCCGAATCCGAGCGTGCTGCTTGGTTCAAAACGTGCGGCTGCAAACCATGCAGGCTGCACCAAACCATACATGCATGCTGCACCCATAGATGCTTGCGGCAATCAGAGCAGGCTGTGGCAAACCATTCATGCATGCCATGCATCATTCCATTATAGCAGGCTGTAGCATTCCATTCGAGCAGGCTGCAGCATTCCATTCGAGCATGCTGCAGCCCATCCATGCATGCTGTTGTTGGTATAGGCTGCAGCATTCCATTCGAGCAGGCTGCAGCATTCCATTCTAGCAGGCTGCAGCATTCCATTCGAGCAGGCTGCAGCATTCCATTCGAGCAGGCTGCAGCATTCTATTCTAGCAGGCTGCAGCATTCCATTATAGCAGGCTGCAGCATTCCTTTCTAGCAGGCTGCAGCATTCCTTTCGAGCATGCTGCAGCCCATCCATGCATGATGCGGTCGGTACAGGCTGCAGCATTTCATTCTAGCAGGCTGCAGCATTCCATTCTAGCAGGCTACAGCATTCCATTCGAGCAGGCTGCAGCATTCCATTATAGCAGGCTGCAGCATTCCTTTCTAGCAGGCTGCAGCCCATCCATGCATGCTGTGGTCGGTACAGGCTGCAGCATTTCATTCTAGCAGGCTGCAGCATTCCATTCGCGCATGCTGCAGCCCAACCATGCATACTGCGGTCGGTACATGCTACAGTATATATCAACCACCCCTTCTACCTACGTGCCTGCGTGGCTCTGCCATCCAGTAACGCCCTGCAATGTTGCCCACCCGTGGCGCCCTGTTGGCCCCTTTCCCAAACGGCCCATTTCTCTCGTGCCTCAGCTGCACTCATACTCGTTCACTGATTTGCTGTCTTGCGTGTCTTGACTGGACCCATTTTTCAGGTGGCTGTGGAAAGTGCTCCAGCGCGCGGGATGTTCTGGCCTCACGGTTTGAAGAGCATACCAACTAGTGTTTTTGCAGCTCGGCCTGCTAGGCTCATTAATTGGCGCATACCTCTTCGCTTTTTACCTCCACATTGGCGTGAAACTTTTGCGAGTAGAGGTGACTGATTGGTTCGTCCACAGCACAAACAATAGTATGCAGCTTTAACAAATATAAGGGTATTTATTAGTGTTCTGCTTATGATATGGCACAACCTAGAATGACTGCATGGGAAAATCTATTTCATCAGGTAGTTCCCGATTTTGTAGGAACTCGTCGACTGCATCCTGTGCAACACTCGTATCCCACGCCTGTATCGTCGCGGTATAACAACCCAATAACCACATGAATGAGCAAGGGCAGTTTCACACGAGCAAATGGGTGATCACCTAGCAGCGCCGAGGTTTCCTGGTTGGCATGCTGACCCGATGTTTCGGCGCCTCTTTTGCTCGCTTTTCGGGGCCCACCATGACCGCCCTGCCCCTTGCGACAGCCCTGCCCCCCCCGGCAGCCCCCCCCCGACAGCCCTCCCCTCCCCGACAGCCCTGCCCCCCGCGACAGCCCTGCCCCCCGCGACAGCCCTGACCCATCCACTTGCCCTCTCAACCCCTTCACATTCCGTGCCCTGCACCCCTATGATGCCCTCACTCTCCTCGTCGCCTCCCGCCCCCACCCTAAACCCAGGCTGCACTTTCCACTTGCGTGCACTCCGGGGCACAAACATCCTCCCTGCGGTCTGCCATACGGATGGGGAGGGGGGAGTGGGGGCATGGAACATCACTGGTTTAGTACGGCGGCGTAGGGTGACTGCATGCAGACCATAGAGGTCGCCGCCCATGGGCGTGTCCGTAACCTCGGTGTGCCTTGCTTCCTGCGTCTCTATCACCGTCCGCCTCCTCCCTCTCTCACCATCCGCCTGCTCCCTCTCTCACCATCAGCCTGCTCCCTCTCTCACCACCAGCCTATTCTCTCTCACACCATCGGCCTACTCCCTCTCTCACCACCAACTTACTCCCTTCTCTCTCACCCTAATACTGCTCCGTCTCTCACCATCGGCCTTCTCCCTCTCTCACCATCCGCCTGCTCCCTCTCTCACCATCAGCCTGCTCCCTCTCTCACCACCAGCCTATTCTCTCTCTCACCATCGGCCTACTCCCTCTCTCACCACCAACTTACTCCCTTCTCTCTCACCCTAATACTGCTCCATCTCTCACCATCGGCCTCTCTCACCATCAGCCTGCTCCCTCTGTCACCATCAGCCTTCTCCCTCTCTCACCATCAGCCTGCTCCCTTTCTCACCACCAGCCTACTCTCTCTCTCACCACCAACTTACTCCCTTCTCTCTCACCCTAATACTGCTCCATCTCTCACCATCGGCCTTCTCCCTCTCTCACCATCCGCCTGCTCCCTCTCTCACCATCAGCCTGCTCCCTCTCTCACCACCAGCCTATTCTCTCTCACCATCGGCCTACTCCCTCTCTCACCACCAACTTACTCCCTTCTCTCTCACCCTAATACTGCTCCGTCTCTCACCATCGGCCTTCTCCCTCTATCACCATCAGCCTGCTCCCTCTCTCACCACCAACCTATTCCCTTCTCTCTCACCCTAAACCTTCTCCATCTCGCACCATCAGCTTACTCCCTCTCTCACCATCAGCTTACTCCCTCTCTCACCATCAGCTTACTCCCTCTCTCACCATCAGCTACTCCCTCTCTCACCATCAGCTACTCCCTCTCTCACCATCAGCTACTCCCTCTCTCACCATCCGCCTAATCCCTCTGTCACCTTCTGCTGCTCCCTCTCTCTGCGTCTCCTCCCCGCCTCTCTCGTCTCCGTTCCTTTCTCCGTCTCTCCCACCCTAAATCCCTTCCCTTCTCACCCTCTCCCCCGCTTCTGCCCACTCTCTCCCGCTCTCCATCGCCCTGTCCCCATCGTTCGCCCGATTTCCCTGTCGCCCCCCCTATCCGCCCCTCTCCCGCCCTCTTTCCGTCATTCTCCCCTTCTCCCTCCCCTCGCTCCCCGTCTCTCCCCTCAATGCCCCTCTCGCTCGTCGCTCCCCCCCATCCCGCTCCATCTATTCCAAAATGTCGCCCTTCCTCTCCCTTCCCCTTCCCCTACCTTCCCGGCGCGTAAGATCCTGACAGCTCTCCTTGTCGCGCGCACGGTCGGACTGCCTCACCCGCTGCAACTGCTCGCGTCTCTGACGCGGGCAGTGAGGCGTGACGTGGTAGGTGTGGCGCGGCTCGCGGGATAGATCACGGCGGTTCTGTGCGTCCGTCGACGTCTACGGCAGGCCGGATTTTTTGTGGATCTCGCGCCCTTATCGCGGCCAGCGTGACCAGAATAGAGCATTGGCGGTCGCGTGAGAGGCCATTCACATCCCGCCCGCACAGTCGGTGTCCCGGCGTTCGGATGCAGGGTTCGTGGCGAGGATAGTATGACCATGCTGCAACCTCGTGCATCAGGCACGTGTTTTAATGGCATCGCGCATCCGGCGCGCATTCCAATGGCGGCGGGGCGTTTCAATGGCGGTAATGAGTTTCTGTCGCGGTCTACCTGAGGAGCTCTAATTCCCTCGTCCACGAAACTGAGTCTGGCAGTGGTGCGTGTTTCCTTACCGACGTACCTCTTAGTACGTGGTCCGCCTTGAGCACAGCCGTCTAGGGCGGTTGCTCGGTTCCCGTGGGGCGAGCTGGGGGTGGTGTGCCAGGCGACGGCCAGTCTGACCGCCCTGCACCTAATCAGGTCACAGCACCAAGTGGTGTGGGACTGCTGACGGTCCGTGGGGCTGGTTGCTTCTACTGGGAAGTGCGGTATTATGGGCAAGGTGAGAGCAGGGGTTGGGCGCTGGCGTGGTTTTGGAATTGGCTCGTGGTTCAGTGTTGTCGCATGGTAGGTTTGGGATCTGGTGGGCACGTTCGAGGTGCTCCCCTGGTTCGGGTTCAGGTTTGGGTTGATTTGGCGAACAAATCTTTGTCGCCAAATTTTCTCGTCACACCCTTTCGTGTTCGTACCTCGCCCTCCAATCCCGATGCAACAGTTCGCTTTCTAGTGTTAAACCTTTGTAATTATGAGATGGGGGCTTTAACCTGTGGTCGCACTCCCAGCGGTCGCAGGTTTCACCGAGCCTTCTCTGGACCGGGTTCCCTGGTGACGCGTCTGCATTCCACATGTAGGGCTGCCTTGCTCACGTTTGTGCCTCTAGCACGGACAAACTCATTGCTCGCACTGTCCCCTGTGTCTTCCTTGGTTTCCCCCTTGATGTGTCTGACAGGCACTTTTACCACCCGCCGTCTCACCGCTTCTTTCACTCCCGTAACGTCATTATTGACGAGTCTGTCTCCTTCTACCACCGCTTTCCCCACCGAGGTCTCCCGGTTTTCACTCCCTTGTTTCTGGTTCCCACTCCTCTGGTAGCCTCTGCTCCTCTCCCTCCCCGTCCTGCCCCGTCTGGTGTGTCTCACGTTACTCCCCTCCCGTCGGTTGTCTCGGTCGAGGAGTCGGCTGACTCTGGTGTCCCCGCGAGCCCATTCTTGCCTTTGTCTCCGCCCTGGTGTCTCCTCCTCCGCCGTCGCATCAGCCGCCACCGTCGCCGTCGTAGTAGTAGTCGCCGTCGGCGCCGCCGCAGCAGCAGCTGCAGCAGGGGTCCGCGAGCTTTGGGGGTGCGGCGTTGAGGAGGGTGCTAGTCCCCAGGTTTCTATCGTGGCTTGTCCCGGTGGTCCAGGGGGTGGCACCGGTGCTGGAGAGGGTTAACGTTCTGGGGGTGCTAGTCTTGGGGTTCCTGTCGTGGGTCGTCCCGGCGGTCCTAGTGGTGGCCCCGACGCTGGAGAGGGTTCTCGCTCTGGGGGTGTTGGCATGGAGTGTCCCGGAGGTAGCCGTGGTGCAGTTAGAGGTTCTGGTGTCGGCGTGGAGCAGCAGCAGCAGTCGCCGCCGGTGTCCGCCCTTTCCCTCCCCTGACCACCCACCTGTGCCTCCCCTGCCGCCGCCTCCACTTCCTGACTATGGCCCTGTATTTCCGCTGCCGAACTCGTCTCTGGCTCGTTTCCCCCCTCGTTCTGCTCCTGTGTCTCCGCTTGTGGCTCCTGACCCGATGCCTCCGTCCCACTTCTAGTCTTGTCGTCCCTCTCCTGCTCGTCCTGTCTCTCCTGTTCAGCGCTCTCACTCTATGTTGCTCCGTTCCCATGCGTCTCGTCCTCCCCTCCTCCTGTCGCCTCCTCTGTCTGACTACCTTCGTGCCACTAGTCCTCTTGTTCCTCGAGTCCTTGCCTCCCTCGTTACCGACGCATTTGTTCCTATCTCGAGTCTTGACACTCTTGTCGCTGCCGTCGCTGACTTTGCCTCTACCAGCCGCCTTGACTATGCCATTGCTCTGGTCCCTTACCCTACCCGTCCTCCGTCCGTCAGGGGTGCTGCTGCCCTTGGCAGTGACACCCTGGAGGACCAGCAGTACAAGCTAGCTTTCCTGTCCGAGGCCGCTCCTCATCCCTTCTCCATGCTGCTAGTCCCAGGGGGTAACCCAGACACCTTTGACATACCGACCTTTCGCACTTACGCTGAGGCGACCTCGGGACCCTGGGCCTCTCAGTGGATAGCTGCTATGGACGCCGAGATGGCATCTTGGAGATCCGCCGGCACCTACATCGACGCAGTTCCCCCACTTGGGGTGAACGTAGTCGATGGCCGGTGGCTCTTCAAGGCGAAGCGTCCTCCTGGAGAGCCGTTGGTATTGAATGCGCACTACATTGCTAGAGGCTTCAGTCAGTGCGAGGGTGTTGACTTCTTTCAGACATTTGCTTCGACCAAAAAGGTGACCACTCTTCGGACGCTGCTAGACATAGCATCTCAGCGTGACTACAAGCTGCACTCTCTTGACTTCTCCACATCGTTCCTCCAGGGCAATCTGCACGAGCAGGTCTACCTTCGCCTGCTGGACCGAGTGGCTCCTCCGGCGCCCAGTTTACGGCCTGCGGCAGGCGCCCTCTGAATGGCATGACACGCTACGTGTTATGTTAGCTGACTTACAGTTCTTTCTGTCTTCTGCAGACCCTTCACTCTTCATCCGTTCAGGACAGACTCCGTTCTACACTCTTATCTACGTAGATGACCTGGTCTTTGCTACTGCAGACAGAGATGCTCTGGCCTCGGAGAAGGCTGAGCTGCTGAGAAGTCACACCTGCACTATCCTAAGAGAGCTGCGCTGCTACCTTGGGCTGCAGATCTCTATGGACAGAGTAGCGGGCACCATCACTCTCACACAGTCACACTTGGTGTGCCAGGTCCTTTAGAGGTTTGATCTTCAGTTTTCCTCTGCGCTGCCCACACCTCTGCCAGTAGATTACAGGCTCTCAGCTCCAGTCCCTGAGGAGTCTATAGAGCCTAGTGGTCCGTATGCAGAGCTGGTGGTTTGCCTGATGTACCTGATGACTTGCACTTGTCAAGATCTCGCATACCCTCTGAGCATCCTGGCTCGCTTTGTGGCGATAAGCAGACACTGACCACAGCAATGGTCGGCACCTTAGTGGGTTTTGCGTTATCTAGCAAGTACATCAGGCCTGGGGCTAGCGCTAGGAGGACGCAGGCCAGTGGTCCTTACATGGCACATAGACACTTCGTGGGCAGACGATGCAGAGAAGCTCAGGTCCTCCCAGGGCTACTGCTTTAGCCTTGGTGCAGGCGTTTTCTCGTTGAGGTCCACCCGCTCGTCGTCTGTTGCACGGTCTAGCTGCGAGGCTAAGATCTACGCTGGTGCCATGGCAGCACAGGAGCTCCGCTGGCTGACGTTCCTGCTCACAGACTTAGGTGAGCAGCCTAGCTCTGCCCGGGTCGTGTACGCTGACAACATGGCCATGATCCTCCTATGTCAGGAGCCTCGACTGGAGGGCAGAGCGAAGCACATCTAGCTGCGGTACTTCCTGCTGCACGAGCTGCAGCAGCGACGCCTGGCCTACGTAGTTCACTTGGCCTCCGGTGCCAACACAGCTGATATCTTTACTAAGGAGCTTGCGCCTAAAGATCATCAGCGGCATTGTGTACAGCTTGGTCTAGTTCCAGTAGCTCCTCACTTGCTAGGACCTTGATTGTGTACTACACTTATTATATTATTCTTACTAGCCTTGTGGCTTTGGCTCCAGTGGCCGGACTAGTAGTGCCGCCCTGGTTTGCTTTTGTCTTGTTTGTAATCTCCTGACTGGTCTTCAGACCCTTGCCTTAGAGGTTGGACTACTAGTGCCACCCTGAGTCACGTGTCTCTTGCCAAGCAGCGCCCCTTGTCTAGCCTAGGGGGTGTGTCGACCTATATTTGTATGTGTTATAGGCTAGATAGGTGCATGCTCATAGAGGGTACAGCACTATAGCACAAAACCTCCCTGTATGGCACAATCTAGTTCATTGCGTTATTCTTACAGTGTATGCTTCGTAGAAATAGCACAATTTGGGAATAACTATTTTGAACAATTCCTGACAATATGAATATATGTGTGTAGGACAAAACAACCCTTTTATTGTATTTGTCTTTTGCCAAAACTAACTAACAACTTAGTTTTCACTTCAGGCTCATTTCTCTGTTCTAACCAAGGATAAGCAACCCTATGTCAAGATAGACGCTGGTGCCCCCTCCCAGTCGCAGTAGGTGCACAGGCGCAGAGTCTGGGGGGTTATGGGCGCACTTATTTGCTACTTGACAAGCCCTTTTAACTCAGTGGTTAGTTTCTGAATTCTGATACCCTAGGCCAAGGTTGGGTTTCCCCCAACCATTCTCATAACTTCTCTTGTCAGTCTTTCTAGATGCTTCATGCATTAGTGTTCATATACCGTATTTATATATGCTAGGTATGTATAAGAAATATAGCCTAGCTAGGTTGTTACGTTAAGGAATTACTTCTTACATGCCTGAAAGTGACACTCGAGCAGTAAATCGTGTCGAGTTCGCATCTGTTATGAATCATGAAGTGCAACGGTCGTTGATCGTTAACCAACAATTGAACAGACATAAGTTCAAGGGTCTGACATGATAGGATGGACACATAACTGACCCTGTAATACATCGTACGCACTTACCCGAGTCGTGTGCAGTTACCCGAGTCGGATCTGAAACTTGAAGAGAATGTACCCCTACTAAGTGCATCTTAGTTAGTCCCTTCGCACTCTCTTGTATCACTATACGAACCTTCCTATAATCAATTTTGTTAAGTTATATTCACTCTTATACACTTCTCGACCAATCAAACGCCTCTGCAAAGCGCACACCTACTGTTCAATTCTGAAGATCCTACAAACCCTTTTTTATCGCTTCATGGTAAACATAGCTTTTCAGGATTCTACGCACGACACCCTTGATCATATTCAAATTCGAATATCGTGGGTCCAGTGACTCGCTCCCGCCACAGAATGGCCCTAGGCTCGGGATCACGAGGGCAAGGAAGCCCTCTTCCCAAAGCACCTGCAAACACTCCGAATCCGGTGGCAACAATGACCGTCCCGACAGGACTCCTCGAAAATTTGCTCTAGCGATAACAAATCTTGAAGATGAACTACGATCTCTCAAGATCGACAGCTCGAGCACCAGTCTCCAAACCACGGAAACGCAACCAACCTCTACAGACAAGGACTCCACTTCTGGCTTTTTCAATATTGACGCTTCCAACACGCAACCACCTGCAAGCATGTGATTATATGACGAAGCCCTTCGAACAGCACAGTCGAAGTTTCTCGCTGTCTCCAAAATAAAGTCTAGCTCAATCTTCGACAGTCGCAATTTCTACACTTGGAGTATCGATTTCGAGCTTCTCCTGCAGAGTGCACAAATCTTCTGTTACTTTGACGGCTCCTACCCCGGATCATCGACTGGCACCAAATACGCAAAACAGCGATACTACAACAAATTGCTTATGGTGTACATCGTCCTCCTATGGAACCTATCCCATTACGAGCAACTCAGAATCCGATCGTTCAAGACAGGCACCGCTCCGACACGAGATTCTTGGCTGTTCCTGACAAATCTATACCAACCAAAGGACTCTGCCTTGTCGAGCCGACTACTCGGCCAAATACTGTAAGAATGGTCTTTAGAGAGAAGGCCAACTACTATATCAACCGTTGCCGAAGCATCCCGCGTCTAGTGATGACGTCAGCATACCGCTTCAGTTACGCGAATAGGCGTAACGAGTTATTTCAGTCACGCAAACAGTCGCGACCCTATAGTATGACGAACAGGTCGCATAGCGCACAATTAGCCGAACAGGTACTTCCCCTAGAGCTATAAATCCTTGTAATGCCTTTCTATTATTAACCTTGACTTTCCACAGAATTATGTGCTCAGGTTATTCAACCTTCGACTACCCACAAGTTCATGTGCTCAGGTTCACTCCTATAAGACTTCCGTTGTCTTACTAGTCTACCATTCCAGTAAAGATCCTAGGCCAACGCTTGAGGTTTTCCAAGTGTTTGTGTTTGCAGATTCTATACTTAGTCTCCTGCAACACCTGTCAAATTATTACAATCTCCAATGCTGTCCCAACCCCCGCAACCGTTGCTTGCAATGAGAGCTTGGAGGCCAAGCATCAAGGGGTTGTGGTTCTCCAAGCCCATAACTCCAGGACTCACATCACTCTGAACGACGTGCTCATCATTCAGAACCTCAGATAACAGCACCGAACCTCAGATAAGAAATCTTCTACTGCATTACCGGGAACCAAGTCCACCTAACCAACCTCCGAACCAGCTGCGGTACATCGGAAGGGCACAAGCAGTCGACGAAGTCTACGCACTAGACTTTGACATACCTGACTACAGCGGCGACAACCATAAACTAATCAATCTCATTCCTCTTGCCTTTGCATGGAAGGACAAGAAGGACTGGAGACATCCCGACGGAAGCCCATGGGCTACGCACCACATGCATCCAACCGAAACTGACCTATACGATCCTGGACCAGACGGTATCTGCCGTACCTGCCGAACCATGACAACCTCCACCAGCAACATAACTAGTTGGAACTGGACTCGAAACGCTAGAGGAAGGGGAAACGGAATCACTCCAAACACCAGACATCGACATGAATGCCTCAGAACTCGCTGCAGCAGTCACCATAGCTCCTCCACTAGGAATGGTGAACCCACCCTACACAGCCAGACACTGCTTGGAAAGCGTCCTGATCTATGTAGGACCAGGATCTTTCGATGACACTGGACAAGCAAACCCGTGGGAGCTGGCCATACACATGGCCTTCAATCCCAACTGGAGTGAGCCCACACCACAGGAAGCGGCAGGCCAGGCTACAAAGATCCCCTCAGACATGGATGCCTCGGCACACTCCCTGGTGGATATTGCCGCAAGAACCGGCCCAACGTCCCCAGAAGCAGAAGAAGCAGGAATAGCATCAATGATCGCAGCACCAGCAGCGCGCAAGGCAGCTTCATCTCAAGCAGCAGCAACAGCACCAGCAGCAGCAAAGGCAGCAGCAATAGAAGCAGCAGCAGAGGCAGTAGCAGCAGAGGTGGCTGCAGCAGAGGCGGCAACAGCAGAGGGAGCAGCAGCATAGGGAACAGCAACAGCAGGGACAACAACAGATCAGTCAGAACCACCATGCCAGAATCTCGAACCGAGATTCGAGATTGGCACACCCTCCTACACGGAAGTCTCTGCCTAGGCTACCTTGACCACTAAACTGTTGGGTTGGACAGACTTCCTAGAACAAAAAGACAGAACAACGAACTGGAGAATGAGGGAGCACAACCAGCAACCAGCCCAAAGAATCCCTTGGGTGAGAAACCCAACAACTGGGAGATACCGACTCAGTCATGACATTTGGTATGGAAGAGGAGACGATGAGGACAACGAAGAGGAAAGGGGGAGAAACATACACGACGCTTACGTTCGTCTTGGTCGCCCTCCCCAAGCACTAGGAACATGGGCTGAATACAACGAAGTCCCCTTTGATGAAGTCCCACTCAACTGGCACTACTACAACCATGTATCACCTCCGCCTCAACCTCGCAGCCCTCATCCTCTGACAACTTCCCCAATCGGGCCTGACAACGAAGACAACCTCAACGAGGCCGAAACCATCGAAGGTCCTCCACAACCTTATCTTCCTCGTCCCACAAATGCTCCTGAAGAAGAAGCTGAGAGTGAAGCTGTACCAAGTCACTCCCCTCGAGCTACACAAATCCCCATAGACCTCATTGATCGAGAATTCCTTGCTCTCGCCGTCACAACCTCTACACACACAGACGAACAATCTGCACCTCCTCCCAAGGTATCTCGTGAGCGCTATCAACGTTCACGAGGACATCGCGCTTCCAGAGAGATCTGGCACCAACGGCTCAAACATCCCTCACGAGTCACTCTCAACAATTCACTCAGAGTGAACGTCTTCGCCCCTGGAGCCAACGGATAGGAACTTCAAGAAAGCCAAGCCCCTCGCACCTGCACAGTCTGTCCCAAAGCCGCTCCCACACACACCCCCTTCCCAGATCTCCCATGCTAACCAACTCGCTACGCACAGATGGACAAAGTCTACAGCAACTATCTTGTCCTCACATAGACAAGACTACAGGGGGAGCAGTATATACTGATCTTCATCGACGTTGCCACCCGCTACGTCTGGGCAATCAATATCTAGAACAGAGTTATCAACACCTTCCAACCCTGGCTCACTCTCGCCGAGCGCCAGTCCAGAAGGAAACTCAAATATTGGCAGATAGATGGAGCTTGGGAGTTCCGCAGTGAAGAGATTCAGACTCACCTCCAAGAACTCGGGATCAAGCACAAGTTCTCCCTACCCTATGCTCACCCACAGCAACGCATGACTGAATGGACCAACCGCACACTACAGACCAATGTAAGGGCGATAATGCTACAGTCCCGACTGCCACCACAGTATTGGCCCTATGCAATGCATCACACAGTACGCCTTCACAACCTTCTATCCACCACTACAAATGAAGGGAATCAATCCCCGCACCTGGCCTGGACAAGAAGGCCAGGTGGTACTACCATGCTGTGAGTCAGGACCTGCATGGTTCAGTACTGACCTCATCAGGCCACCACCAGGAAGTTCGAAAGGTGAGCTCGCTGGGGCGTCCATCTTAGAATCTCACACGAGTACCAAGCATGGATGATCCTGGACCTAGACAACTCCAACATCGTCCCCTCTAAGGACATACTCTTCTATGAAGGCCTCAGTCTGAAGCCGTTCCGGGCCAATCGATCTACCAATCAAGCAGTCGCATATGCACAAGGAGAACGCAGCTTCGCCTCTCCTAAAGACGAAGCTGCCGCTACTCAACTTGACCTGGACCCACGTGATGAAAACCCATGCAAAAATCCACACTTTGAGGATGACGACGATGCGGAGAACGCCCCTCTCGATCCCTCTCGTGATACACTACACCGAGATGGAACCATCAAGACTCTTGCAGATCCACAACTCGACGCCAACTCAGACGATGATGTGCAAGAGGTCACCAAAAGAGTGAATCGTTCCACCAGCCTCTCTGGACTCCACATCCCCAGTCTCCATGCAGTAGTACACCAGGGTCTCTCCGTGATCGAGCCAAAAACACCCCGTCAGGCTCTCACCGGACCCCACCACATAGAATGGTGCAAGGCCATGGACGCTGAACTTGCCCCGCTTCGCTCTCGAGACACTTCAGTCCTTGTGGACCGCGAAGCATTGAAGGGGAGGAAGATTCTGTCCAGAAAAGGGTTCTACCGTGTCAAGATGGACGCCAAAGGAAACATTGAATGCTAGAAAGTGCGATGGGTCTTACGAGACTACGACCAATGCCACAACATCAACTTCGACCTAACCTTCGCCCCCGTAAGTCGCCACACCTTCGTGCACATTCTCCTCGCAATCGCCGCCTGTCGACACCTTGAGCTCCGACAGGTCGACGTCAAGAATGCATTTCTGTACGCAACAGTTGACGCTCTCATCTATGTCAAACAACCACGCTCTCGCGTATGCCAACTCAATAAGTCACTCTATAGCATCAAGCATGCCCCACGCCTCTGGCAGCAGTACCTGCATGGCATTCTGCTTGACATCGGCTTCATCCAACTACCACATGACCCCGAAATGTACCGCCTCCACTTCCTCGGCGACTACATCCTCCTCACAGTCTATGTCATCGACCTGCTCTACACCGGCACCAACCCAGATCTACTCAACCAGTTCGAGCAAAGCCTAGGAGAACGCGTTGACATCACCACCTCCAAGACCATGACTCAATTTCCCCGCCTGAAAATCTCCTATATGCCAGAAGCCATCCACCTCTCCGCATCTAAATATGCCGAGACCCTTGCCAAGCGATTCAACATTACGCCCCCCTTTCCACTGCCTACTACACACATGCCGCAAGCTACAAGCCTGACACCAAGACGTCACGTGTCGACACGACCTATCCTACATCGCCAGCCAGCTCACCCAATACTCTCGGCGACTTGAAGGGGAGAACCTCCTAGATCTACTGCGAGATCTCCTATATTTCATTTCAATTCCTAACATCAGACTCACCTACTCCACCATAACTATACCCTTATTTCAACTCACATGATACGTCGACGCAGATCATGCCGCAAACCTCGCTAATCGTTGTTCCCGCACAAGTTTTCTTTTTCGACTAGAACCTACTGGACCTATCTCCTGGAACTCACAGAAGCAGGAGTTGATTGCTCTCTCCTTGACTGAAGCAGAATACATCGCAGCAGCAGCTGTTGTTCGCGAAGGACTCTACCTTCAAGAACTGCTGCAAGAAGCAAAACTCAGCATTTCACCAACATTCAAGCGACACTGCGAGAGCCAGAGCGCAATCAAGATTGTCAACAAGCTCGGCTTCGTGAATTGCACAAAGCACATCGCCCTGCGATACTTCTTCGTCAAAGACGAAATCGAAAAAGGGAAAGTGGACCTGACATACAGCCCTACTGGGGAAATGGCAGCTAACTTCCTCACCAAGAAGCTGCCACGACAACAGTACAAGCACAGCGCCGAGCTCTCTGGAATTTCTAAGCGCGCGAAGCTCGAGTACCTTCCCAAATGAAGGAGAGTGTTATGATAAGGAATTACTTCTTACATTCCTTAAAGTAGCAATTGAGCAGTAACTCTTGTCGAGCTCGCGTCATTGATGAGTCACGAAGTGCAACGGTCAATGACTGTTGACCAACAAACGAACAGACAGAAGTTCAAGGGTCCAACAGGACAGCAAGGACACATAAGTGACCCTGTAATACAGCGTGGACAGTTATCCGAGTGGTGTGCGGTTACCCGATTCGAATAGGAAACTCAAGGTGAAGGTGATCCGTAGTGACAATGGTGGGGAGTTCATTGGAGGTGATTTTGAGGGGGGGTTGAAGAGGAAGGGAATCCAGTATCAACTGACAGTGCCCTATAATCCGCAGCAGAATAGAGTAGCCAAGCAGTTCAATTGGACCTTGCAGGAGGATGCACGCACTCTCCTTGGGCGTGCAGGGCTGCCTGATCTGTTTTGGGTGTCTGCACTGAGGCAGGTCGTCGTTGTGAAGAACAGGGTGCTGACTACAGTTGGGGATAAACAGTGGATCCCCTATGCTAAGTAGTATGGGAGTGCTCCAACTGTGAACATGCTAAGGGCCTTTGGGTGCATGGTGGTGTTTCGTGTGCTTAAGGAGAAAAGGGGGGAAGCTGGAGGCTTTTGGAAGATGGGGTGTGCACTAGGGGACTGCAAAGGATCACAAGGGGTGGCTACTGTGTGACCTGACCAGCTAGAAGCTGATTGTGTCAAGGGATGTGAAGTTCCTTGAGTCCTTGAACTACAAGGAGTGGGAGAAACAATAGCAAAATCTTCCATCTACACCTCTCATTGTCGAGGCAGATGAGGTGCAGCGGCCTTCAAGACAGGTGGAGGTTGCAGTTTTGGAGAAGGAGATGTATGGGGTGACTGAAGAAGGGGGAGCAGCTGAGGTGGAGCAGCAGCAGCAGCATGACTCCCCACCTCGAGTACCACACCCGCCTGAGTGTCCAAGGAGGGATGTGCGCCCTCAAGTGAGGCTGACTTATGGGGGAAGAGGCGAGCCGAATGCGGTGTAGGCTGTGAGTGTGGTTGAACAGATTGAGGAAGATGAGATTGCTCACTGCTATTGGGCACCAGTCCCTGAGCCCAAGACTTGAGGAGGGGCATTGAATGGACCAAATGGAGAGAATTGGAAAGCAAGTGAGGATGAGGAGTTTCGATCCTTGATTGATAACAAGACTTGGGATTTGTGTGATTTGCCTCCTGGGAAGAAGGCAATCACTTCCAAGATGATCTACAGGCACAAGTACCGACCTGGTGGGGAGTTGACCCACTACAAGTCAAGTCTTGTGGCAAGAGGGTTTCAGCAGAAAAAGGGCAAGGACTATGACGAGGTGTTTGCTCCTGTAGGGAAAGGAACAACACTGAGGGTGCTGTTGGCTATAGCGACACTCCTAGGGAGGAAGATTCGATAGTTGGGCATTGTGACTACCTTTCTGAATGGGATTGTTCTAGAGGAGATGTACAAGGAGCAACCAGAGGGGCTGGATGATGGGAGTGGCAGGGTCTACATGCTGAAGAAGGCCAACTATGGCCTTAAGCAGGCGCCTCATGCATGGTATCATAAATTGGAGGAAGCACTGCAGGATGAAATCCTCTTGGTGCATGTGGATGATATCCTTCTCTTCTCC